TGGGGGTGGGGTGGGGGCAGAAAGTGGGGACGAAAGCAGACGACAGAAAATTGTTAGAAAGCAGGAAAGGATGTCATCATCATCATTATCATTGCCTTTCTCACCCTGCACCAGGGTGTAGGCCACGGACAAACACTTTCCACCTTTCTCTATCCTGGGCTTGTCTTTTGATGTTTTTCCATGTCTTCCCACTTTTCTGTTCATCGATTTCTGTGATTCTTCTCCAGGTTCCACGCGGTCTTCCCCTTGATCTCTTACCTAGTGGGTTCCAATTCAAAACTTTCTTTGTTATGCAGCTGCCTGACTTCCTGAGAGTATGTCCAATCCATCGCCACCGCCTTCTTCCTACCTCATATCTGACTGGGATCTGTCTTGTTTTCCTTAACACTTCCAGATTGGTGACCCTGTCTGTCCGTCTGATCCTCAGTAACTTTCCTAGACACCTGTTCAAGAAAACCTGGATCCTCTTTATGCAAGCCTGTGATGCGTTCCATGTCTCATACCCATACAACAGGACCGACTTCACATTTGAATTGAAAATCCTCAGCTTTGTTGGAAGTGAGATATCTCTGGTCTTCCAAATACTATCCAAAGATATGAAAGCAGCCTGCGCTTTTCCAAAGCGGGACTTTACTTCAGCACCTGTTCCTCCCTCTCTGTCAAATATACTCCCAAGATAGCAGAAGGATTCAACGTTTTCTAGCGCCTTTCCTTCTATTGTGACCTGCTCCTTGCGTTGTGCATCTGTCCGTAGGATCTTTGACTTTCCTGGGTGGATCCTCAATCCAACAGACTCCGATAGGCTGTTTAATACTGAAGTCTTTGCTTCCATCTGTTCCTGGGTGTGCGACAGAAGCGCCAGTCTGAAAAATCCAGATCGCCCAACTGTGTCCATGGTGTCCACTGTATACCATAGGAAAGGATGTGAAAGTAAAAATGTTAGAGAAGAACATTTTCCGTCGCTGTCCGGATTCGAACCCTTGACCTATTGAATGAAAGGTGAACACCTTAACCTCAAGGCCACGAGAGCCCCCATTTAATGTGTGGATACTCAATACAATATCTTTTGATACTAAAGCTGAACTCATGCTTTCTGCGAAAAAAGCGAAGAATCTGACCTTTAAACCACCACTGGCACCGGTTTAAACTGTGTGCTCTCATTTCCATGTCTTCCAGGGCACTTCACTATTATGTAAGCATTCCCGCCCCCCCCCCAACCTCAATGAAGTGGTTGTTTTCCATCAGCGTCTCCTCAACAAACGCAACAAAGACATGAACAGATTGAGAAACCCATGAAACGTTGACAAACTTTTTGATACTCGATGAGTGTAACAGAGTAATGCAATAATTATTAATAAGCTCGTTGCCTAACACGCAAGAGACATGATATTCAAACTGAAAGTATGTTTTATCGAGTAACATTTTCCGCTGAGATGGCCTTGAAAAGTTAGGCTGAAGTAACCCCTTTCCCAGAGATCTAAATTTGGCATAAAACAATACAATTGAGCTTTCGAATTAGATCTAGGACGAACAACATAAAAAAGTACAACAAAACCCAAATAGAATGAAGGATGATTTTAATTCGTTGAAAAGATGTGATCAAGCATACATGATCTCAAGTCACTTAAAATCGGTGCCTCCGACTGGGGGATGGGGAGGAGGGGGGGGGGGGGTAGTTATAAGCCATGACGCCAGGTGGAATTTTGACGTAGCTGCCCATAATTCCAAATGTTTCTAATACAATGTTTACAAAAGCGTTTGCACAATTAATATGACAAGGCTTCTATGAGCTACTTATTAAAGTATGTTGCATTCTCAACAATCTAATGTTAGTCAGTAACACCTGCTTTATCTGGATGTTGGATTTTTAAACTAACCTTTTTAACGTCAGCGCTATCGTTTTAGATGTTGTCCCTAACTATATAGTAAAGTCGCTACCATCTCCCTTCACTGATCTTTATAAAACAAACAAACAACAAACCACATACGTTTAAGAGTAATATGCAACATTGGTTTACGAAGCGAGCTGATGTAATGACCTGATGTGCGGTCGGAGAAACATTGTGTGTTTGAAATTTTCTTTTAGACAGCTTCTGAGACACACTGATTTTTTTCTAAACAAAGTATCGACACAATAAATTATAACATCAGGTGGTTCCAAACCGAGCTGAGAGAGATACATTGTCCCAGCAGAAAGATCGAGATACTCGATAAAATATTCTCCCACACGGGAGTCAAACCTGAGTCTTCTGGGTGCGAGGGCGAAGTGCCCAAGCACTACACCACAGACGCTGGCAGACGCACTGAGCATGTTTTAGTGGGGTGAGACTGAGACTGGACTGTTATCCCTGCATGCAATCTCTTCTCGGATTTGACCTCAAGGCCAATCGTCATCAACGCTGTTTCTATCAAACACAGCGCGCCAGCAACGCATTCCTTCCCAAAATAACTGAGAATTCAAATGCAATCGAACTTGCTCTAACGGTCATCACCATAATGGCATTGTCCAAAACATTCTCTTGTGTAAGACAACTATTTTTTCTCCCAGAGAATAGGAAGCCGTTTTTGGCTATTTTTGACTGTATAAAAATATTATTGACTACAGTTTTTAAAGATCGGGTTTCTATGTGACGTCATATCGGCGCTTTACATATCTCTTTGTCTTATTTCCCAATCCCAGATCATGTTATCCCTCTGGAAATCCGGACTCGGATTGCCCATTGAATCCAAAGAAGAAAAAAATATGTTATGATAGTTCTCGTTTCTCGAAACAATTTGACTATCTGCTTTTCTTTTCATTTATGTCTGGGTATAGTTGTAAGCGTGAGTACGACCTTTCGGAGCCGTCACTAACATAACCCCCGAGACGTGCTCACAAAATTCAACAACATTGTTTCCACACAATGTGGTATTGCCTCATGGAGCATAATAGTATACATAAGCCTAGTGAGTTTGAGTTTTGTCTATGAAAAATGCTTCATCGCTAGGTAAAAACCTTTCTCTCAGGGCTTCACCCCTTATCCCTCTATTAGTCTCTTTCCATTTCAGACTTACAGGATATTTATTGGAGAAGAGTCTGCCCATATAATTGTGTCTCTCTTTAATTTGAAATATCCTAAGAAGAAAAACAAACCAACAAACAAATGTAAATGTGCTGTCCCTCAGCCATCTTTGTTGTCGAGTACTTGAGAAACTTTGTCGTTTCTGCAGGCCCAGATCTTCCTGCTCCCTCCGCCCGGCTTGTACCGAACGCTGCCTAGCGGCGACTCGCTCAATCTCTCCTCGTCAATCACCGTGCCCTGCTCCGTTACCGGACTCAGCCGAATGGTACCCGTCCTCACCGTAGACGCTTGGTAGTCGTCGCCGGTGGCAAAGTAGCAGCCTCGGGTGTTTCCGCCTCTCCGACCTCTCCCGAAGCTGGCATCACCCCGCCCCCGTCCCGGAGTGGAGCAGCACACACAAATAGCCTCGCGGAAACCACGGCGGAAGTGACGAGACATGAAGCCGTAGACGAGCGGGTTGAGGGAGGAGTTGAGGTAGGAAAGGAGGAACATGGCCTGACGTAACGGCTTGAGGTGGCCAATATGCAGCGAATCCAGCACACGCAGAGAGACCAGAAGATTGTTGATGAGGATAGGACCCCAGCACACGGCAAACAGGACCACCACTACGATCAGCATACGAATGACCTGAAAAAGAAGTCGAAATGGGGAGAGGGGAGGGGGAAGGCATGAGAGATAGAAAGGATTATTGCTACAAAGCAAACAGATTGGAGTGGGGGTTTTTTCTATACAAAAATTATGATGCTTCCATGGAAAGAATGTGTGAGTGTGTGTGTGTGTGTGTGGGGGGGGGGGGGTTAGGGGGTGGGGGGAGTGGGGGGTCGGAGTGATCTTATGTAGCTCTTTCCATCGTTGCAGAAACTCAGAATGGCTTTGAAAAAAAAATTATCAAGCCCAAATTTATTTTCCGAACCTCGTGCTATTTTGGCAAAACATCTGTAAGTTGATCATACAAAAAAAAAGGGGTTGTTTTTCTCACTTCAGTTGAGTGCTACAGGGAAGAAGAAAATGTTTGAAGATATCAAATTTTTATGGCATCGTGGTGAAATCAGCTACTCGGCAATATAATGAAATTGGAGAAACTGGCGTTGGGCATTTTAAAACGTTTTTTGTTTGTTTTCTTCTTTTTTTTTGCCCAACAACTTTCATGTCTGTGAGGATTCTACTGAAAATTACACACATTTACAGTTTTTAAGGACACTCAAGCTTTGGAAGTTATCAAACTTTGGCGGCTATTTTCGCGTTAATCTTACATCAGACACATGTATACTGTACTCACACAGGTTTGCATATCCCACGTTCATGCAACACAGTTTGTGTATTACACATTTCCCATCTTTCTTTGGAGTGCATTTAATGATGACTGACGGAACATTTTGGAAGGTGCACTGAATCGACCAAGCCCTGAGACCAAACTTACGGCTGGTTTGCCGTCAAGTTAGCGCTCTCGCCCTCCCCCCACCCCTTTTTCCTTTTTGAGGAGGTCGTTCATGGGTCTCACAATCCCAATAAAATGAACTTCTCATAATCACTCAAAATAGAATCGAATGAAACTGCATGGAATACAAAGTGCCTATAACTGAACATTTTTATTCTGTCTTGCTTCGATCAATCGCTTTTATAAAATAACTTGTATACATGTGAGAATCGGTTGATTATACATTCTTCAACAGAACACAATTTGGGAGAGGGTCAAGGAGACGCGAATGTCAAGAAGAAAAGTTTCAACAGTATACTGGTGATGGTACTACGGTCATTGTAGGACGAATCAAATTAGATCGCCAATTAAGAGCAAACATTTTTCGGTTATCCTTAAAAACAACAACTGAATTCATTCCTGTGCACGCTGAGAAAAGTGATAAGTAGAAAAAAAAAGAAAAGCAGCTTTAAAAATCGAAATCTTTCTGCTGCGACTGAAAATGTCAAGCGACAGAACAAATAAAGAGGTTCTGGAAGAAAATGATGTGCAATTACTGAAAAATGTTTTGCTATTCCTCAGGAATATTAATGCGGGGAATCTTTTTAAGCTAAAGGATTGTTCAACAGACATGCAATGATTGTTTTGTTTAGCTGAGGGATTCTGCAAAAGTCAAGGGTAATCTTGATGTTTGTCACAAGTAGCCCGCCAACTGTTCTGTCTTTTCGATTGCTTCCGCCTGCTTCCTAACTGGAATGTCATTGGCCGATATGAAACAGACGGTGTCAAATTGTCGTTCTGACCTTGTGATTTGAGAGAGTGAGAGAGAGAGAGAGAGAGAGAGAGAGAGAGAGAGAGAGAGAGAGAGAGAG